AGTCAAATATATTTTTCACGCACTTGTATTGTATACTAGACATGTGTCACAACCCACATCAGCTGGTTTTAGGCTCAATCTATGAGAGTAACCATCATGAACAAATTCGTTTGGAGGCAACATATGGCTGATCAAATGTAAATGAGTATATATATGATATAACTCACCTCATCTAACTAATTTACCCTACATTCTCATCATCGCCCTCCCTTCTACACATTTCCATATTCCATGGAGACAAAGACCGAAATATACCTCCCTCAAACTTCCCCAGCCACTGTCAATGTTTCCGACCTTCTCCTTGCACAAGTAACTTACACTAGAGATCTATTATTACCCCCACCCAGAGTTTCACCTGTCCTCAAGGTGAAAAGAAGGAACTATTTTTGCAATCGATTATATTCTCACACTGCTTCATGAATCAGTAGTTCATGAGAAAGGGTAGATTGAAAAGGAAGCGGCAGAAGAGCTAGAACAGAGGCAGGTCCCACTAACAACTCTAGGTATGCTGTTAGCTGTTGAGGGATTCCCAACCCCCCATCCGAACATAGAACTTTCTGCCCATAAGCGTGGAATACCTTATGGTGGAAGTGATTGAAGGTAAGTCTAATGGGTGTGCCAGTGGGGCAACCCTGGCAGCCATAGCAAACATGAGCAAGGTTCTCAAAATGTTGAGAGTAAGAGACTAGTGGTAGTATGGATGCAATTAGAGAAAGACATGGTCATCAATGGTAAGCTTCAGCTGGGGGTCTATTAATTCAAACAATACTCCAACATTACAACAAAGTTTATACACAAACTATCCCCGCTGCCCAAAATATTGTAAAAAAAAAAAAAGAAGAGAAGAAAAAAGAAATTACGCATGCAAACAAAAAACTAGTTCACAGTGATAAAGACGTGCCTCTTCTAGATTTTCCAGCATCATTATTTGCTCAATCTGTTCAGAAACCCTTTCCTGTAAAATGGTCACAGAGTTAAATAAATCCATTCATGGTAAAACTTATGACAAGGCATAAATTGTACACACCACGCTACTGGCTGCTGCAGCAGCGATAACATCAGATTCCATTTCAACTTCTATCTCAATCATCGAGGAAATCTGTCAAATAGGATACAACTTAGTAACCATACCTTTTTGGGAGTAGGATTCTTAACACAAAATTGTATATCTTAGACATACTCTTGCATAGCTTTCTATTAGTTCAATCCGTTGCTTAAGGGAATTCTCCAGGCCTTCTCGCACCTTCTTTATCCTACTTCTACGTGCGCTGGAGACAATAATATAGAGACTGAGTTTGGAGGTCATTTTGGAAAAAGGGAAGAACGAAACTTCCAAATGCTTTTACAACCTTAACAAGTCAATTGAAAATGAACATTGGCAATAGTTCATTGAATTAAGAAAGGATCATATATATTTTTTAGTAGGATTCACCGATAAGAAGGTTCTCCTACAGCAAAAATTTTGTTCTCTAATTGACACATCCGAGCCAACATCCATACCTGCAGAGAGGACAGAATTCAAGTAAACTTCACCGCCCAGATCTATCATGTTACAAGAACAAAATGAAAAGAATGTGATTTCAGTTATTTGATGACAACCTATCTTTCTCTCCGTCTCTCTCTGTCTTTCTTTCTTTCTTTTCCTTTT